GTCTCTAAAACTTGTCTTGGAATGGGGTGCTGTTGTGTGATTCAAAGACTGACTCTTGTGACCTCTGAAACTTCAGGATCTGCAGCAAGTATTTGTCCTCACAAGAGTCTGAGATTTATTTTGGAAGAAGGTCTTTGAAGTAAGGCTGGAGAGAGGAAGTATCAGTCCCCCGAGGGTTACAGCTGCATTCTTGGGAGTGCTTATGGTACCTGGAGAGCACGTGCTCAGTGGAAAACTGTGTTTGGGTTTGTTGAGTTGGCATAGGCATGGAGGTTCCGAGGGAGTATCTGGAAGGTGCTGGACTTTGATGAAGGGTAGGCTTGCTGAGATCAAGGTGAGCTGTAGCAACCCTTGAGGGAGACTTTTGGGGAGGAAGGAGGAAACAGCATGAACGGCTGTTCTGCTTTGGGTGATTGTTACAAGCCAGATCAACATGTGTGTTTGTGTAGACAGGGCAAGCTGGAAGTGAAAATAATAGATCATCAATCATAAGCTCAGAAATAAATTCCAAACCCTTTTCCATGGAATTGCCTTATAGTCCAAGCCAACAACATTCAAATTATGTGACGTTCTTATGAGCAATTATTGTAGAAGCAGAAACTGTAGCTTTGTTCTGCTTTCCAGTACTGTTTTGTGGCCAGGTTTCTGTAGATGTGGAAGTTCAGCTGTAGCATTGGTTAGCACGAGGCTGTAGAAGGTTCCTAATACAGTTCTGTCTTGCAGCTGGGGGATTTGTACTCATACTTGCTTATTTAACTTTCTTGGTTGAGGCTTCTAACCTCTTTTTCTGAGCTGCTCCTTTCTGTTCTTGACTAGCCTGGATTTGGAACAATCCTGCATTTCCTTTTCAATAGGTTCAAGGCATTACTTAAATACTTATAAGTGCAAAAAAAAAGCAGTTCCCCCTCCTGAAGACTATTGTAGCATTTGAGTAATAGTGAGGAAGGTCTGTAAGGGGGTTACTGTTGAAGAGAGATTTGGCAAAATTTAGGAACTGAGTGTATGACACAGCTCAGATGCTGAGGCAGCTTGTGTGTTAAWTCAGTCTGGAATGACAGCTGCTCTTAAACTGGCACTGATACTCCTCTGAACAGAAAGGTCTTGTGCTCTGCTGCTGTTTCTCTGCATACTGAAATGTAAATTGTGAATAAATAATTATGAACTGGGAAATCACAGGTCTGTTTATTAAAGAATTGAAGGGGAAAAAAAAGACCAAAGCAAAACAGGAAAAAACCCTGCCCAGATCCAGAATACAATCTGGAAAGGTAAGGACTAAGGAGATTCTTTAAAGTGTTGTATAATCTCTCTCATTAAGGAAAAAAAAATCAATTAAAAACTAGAAATGAGACTGAAAGAATCTGAAATTCTGAAACCTTTGAAACTTTCTTACTGTTCCCTTTTTTTTGCCTTAGAAGCTTTACAAACACTAAAGCTAGTTCCATTTTTTAGTGGGCTCTTCAAAATGTCATGAAGAGACATAAGGTCTCTTACTTCAGTCTGCCTCACTGAACCTCTACCATTCTTCCTCTGTTTGACAGGTTTGTCTTTTAATTAATGGAGGTGTTAATTAGAGAAGAGAAGTAAAGCTAGAGTATGATTAAGTTGCAGTTGGTTTAAGTCTGAGTGAAAAAATTGGCCTGTCCAAGAGCTTAAAGATTGTTGTTTGGATTTAAGTTACGGTGTTGGAGAGTTGACAATCGTTTATTTCTTCTAAGTGCATTAATTTTCCATCTCAAAGCTTAACTAGAAAAAGTATATTGAAGTAAAATTATAACTTAGAAGAGGATCTCTAAATTGAAGAAGTCTTTAAAATAGCACCTACGAAAATGTGAAGAGAGGAAATAGGAGAAATCACGTGTTSTGATTTGGCAATTATAATTTAGTCCCATAGTAAACAAATGGATTCAAATAAATGGTATATAGGTCTTCGTTGTCCACTTCTGTGAAAGTYATGAAAGCACTTGTTGCTGCTGCTGTATGATTCCCGATTTCTTACTCCTCTTGGAATTTGTATTTGAGCTCAGTGTCTTGGTTTGGGGATTAGCTGTCAGTGCACTGGATGCCTGCAGTAGCAGAAACTTCTTCAGGAAGGTCCCTTTAATCCTTGTGTGYCCTATTTTGTGTGCGGCCCAAATGGAATCAACTTTGCAAGATTGCTTCATATGGCTTCTGTTGGGTTGTTCTTGATCTGTTGCTTCTTAATATTACCTGTTTTGTATTGGCAAATGAAACTGTGGCTTCCTTGGAAGACAACTTCATTGTCTCTTTTGTAAACTGCCCAACCAGTAAATAKCTGAGTCTGTATCTTTTGAAAATGTTGATTCTTGTGTATGGTTTCTTTTTCCATGTATCTTTTCTTTCTTACCACATTAAATTCGAATTAATTTCTCCAACTCTTATTTTAAAATTTAGCTTAGCCAACAAGCTCTGCTGCTCAGTTTGCTGAAGTTAGCTGTGCTGGTGCTTTTCTCCAGATTTCTGATGATTGCTGGCTAAGCTGAGACTCTGTGGCATTGGAGATAGAAACCCAGGAAACTTGAATACCTTATCTTTGTGGTGTGACTAAATGGGAAACAGCTCTGCAAGAATTATCCCCCCACCCCCCCAATCTCCTTTTTCTGGCCTCAGATGACAAGTGACATCTTCATGCATGGTTTAATTCTTTTCTGTGCACTGAGAGTAGTAGACTTAATTTTAATCATGCCTCTATTTTGCACACTATAATTACTCACGTCCTAAAACATTCAGAGCTGCAGACTGAGATGCTGTACCCTCCAGCAGTTTGGAGAGCAGGCAGGAATGACTGAGTGACTTCAGAAGCAGCGCCTCGTTGCCTCCATTGCCAGCACTGGTGTGGGTGGACTCCTCTGAGGTTTCATTATTAAAGTGCACCGATGGAATACACAATTTATTAGTGTCCCTTCTTTCACAGAAATCTACATACTGAAGGCCAAGACTGAAAGCTTACGAATTTGATGCATTTCCTTACTTTAAAGACAAAYGCTGTCACTTGCAGTAAAATGTCTGAGCGTGGTAAACAGTGAGCAAGCCACTTGTGACTTGCTTCCAGGCTTTTACAAACCGCTGTCTTCTATAATGCATTAATCAGCAGCACAGAATAAAAGATTATTGGCCTGTTTGTACAGCAAGATCAAGGGGAACTCTTGCAGCTCTGTGATCTTGAGCTGCTGTCATTCAATAGCATGGCTTTACTACTGTAATACTTTGTCTGCAGAACTTCCTCCTTCAAAGGTAGCGTTACTGAGGTTGTAGAAGTAAACCTTCAATTCCAGAAGGTGTTCTGCAAAACAGCCARAACCCAACATCCATAACCAAGACAACAAAATGCCATGACAACAAACATTTTCAATTCAAACTTGGCAAACAGATCACACAATTTTTGTCTCCTGTCTCATTCCAGAAAATCATTCCCCTGGCCTGAAACTGAAGAGAACTTGCAGCTTTTCTGCCCATAAAATAGAAAATTTCATATGCAAGCACTGTGGTTTTCCGAAGCTTGGGACTCTGTGCTAGAGATTTCTTAGATCTTAAATAAGTCTGTGTAATAAAAGGAAAAAAAAAAAACCCCATAAAGATTACTTGCCAGGAATTAAAACAAAACAAACCAACCAAACAAAACCTGAACTATTGTCAGGGAGGGAAAGGAAGTCTGCAAAGTGGTGACACTGCTGTCCAAGTGATGCACAGCAAGTTCTCTAGACTTACAGTGTTTAGGTGTGCAGGGATCAATCMCAAAATATCCTGTCTGCTTTTGAGGTAGAATATCTGTCATCACTAAATGACTTGAATAATTGGAGGAAAATTTCTAGTCTGGGGGTGGAGAAGAAATCATTAACAATAATTCCTCTAAGGGAAAGTAAAAGATGAGTATTTTCAGATAATGCTTAGTCTAGTAGTTAAACTTTTAAATTTTTTTCTACTTAGATCTTCAAACTTTAAGCCTCAGCCCTGCAATTAGATCCATTTCAGTGCTCTTTGTGTTGCACGAAGTTGTCTCCTCAAGGTTTGCTAGGGCTGTGTCTGGCATCACACAGGTTTTGGTCATTCAGCTGCAGTATGCACTTTCCAGCTGTGTCTCAAAAACAGCTGGTAGCTATAGAAGGTAATTGCTGGCTGCCTAATTGGAGTCTGTGGATAAAAGGTGAAATAGCTCATCACAGATCCTGTCAGCGGTGTGGGATATGGAGGATAGTGGAAAGCTTGCTGCCTGACTGTTTATGATTTGATTACTTACCTTCTTGTACTCTTCTGTGCAAGTCTACATCTTCTTAAGGTACAGGACACCAAGCTGTGTGTTACTGTTGTTCCCCAGGACACTTTAATATCTGATTTTTATGTGAGGTGCAGTTGTTTCAGTATAAGCTAAAGTCATTGCTTGTGTTGTCTCTTGCTATTGAAGAGGTCTTAATGCATGCATGAATGCACTCCTCTGCTGGCTGGGTCTGTAGAAACTCTAGGAGATGTGCTGGAGCTTGATGATTAAACAACCTCTGGGATGACTAGAGTATCTRTTTGTGGTGATACCTCTTTTTGCTGATGTGACTGGGTTCAGTGTGTGTGACATATTTCCTGTAAGTGAAGAATTCAATAGTACCTATTCCTCTAACACAGAGGTAATGAGCTCCCACAATTAACTTAAAAACCTGTGAGCAGTAAAGTCATGATGCTGTGCAGCCTGACTTCATCTGGGATAAAGATAGAGAAATATTTGGTCATAGCTCGGGACAGAATTGTTGGAAAACTGTTACTGTTGGGTAAAAGAGTTGCTGTCAGCTTTTGCTGTCAGCAACTAATATAATCTCAGTTTGGGGTTTTTGTTATTGATGGTTTCGTTTCTTTTTTTTTTTTTTTTATTGTGAATGTAAGCACTGAACTTGCTATTTATCACAACCATGGCCTGCAGCCTGGTGGTCTGAGAACTTGGCCAGGCTGCAAACTTTTTACTGTATTTTAGCACCTTCCTTTTCTCTCTCCTACAGACTTGATCCAAGCCACGAATGAAACRAACGTGAATATCCCTCAGATGGCTGATACACTTTTTGAGAGAGCGACAAATAGCAGCTGGGTGGTCGTATTCAAAGCCTTAGTCACCACACATCATCTAATGGTCCATGGCAATGAGGTGAGTGCAAACAGCTCTCTCAAGGCCATACTGGCACTGAAAACACTCCAAGCCAAAAATGCCAGTAGTGCAGARGCATCTTGCCTGAGCCAGTAAGGACCTGAGAACAAAAGGCAAGAATGATTCTTGACCAAGAAAAAACTTACCTTTAGCAATAGTTGAACTGTTCATGTGTCTCTCCATTTATAAAACCATAACATAAGACCAAGACACAGCCTGTGCCAGGATGTTGACAATTTATTCTTTGATTCTAAAAACAGAGGTACACAAGATAAAGCACTACCTGGGATTTTTTGACTAAGGTCAAAGTTGATGTTCTGGCAGGGGTATACTACCATCCAAATAGTTGCCTTGTCTGCATGAGTGTTAAAATCTTTCTGGAGCTGTAAATTCAACTTGCTAGCCTTTGGGATCAAGTTCTCCTTTTCCTTGCTTTTTATTGACCTGTAGAGACAGGTATGTCTGCATAAAAAAAGACAGTGTATTTAAAGAACTTCAGTATGACTGTGAAGCAATTTTTCCCTGCTGTATATAAAGTGTTTTCATGCAATGAAAGTGTAAATTTTTACTCCTCTTTTTCCATTCCAAGTCTTGGTTGATATTCTCATCTGATTTCTCTAATTGTTTCAAGCTGTTAGGCTCCGTATTTGTTGAGGGGCCTTGCTTGTTATTAAAACAGGCCCTCAGCTTGGCTGAAATTGAGGGCTGCTGGTTTGAGAAGTCTGGGGCCAGCCTGAATATGTGCTTTGTAAGCAAATAAATCTTGTGCTCCCTCAAATCCCTGAGAATTAAACATTTTTATTTTTTCTATTGCAATGTGTTTTGTGCTTGGCACATAATCCATTTTTTATTTATATGGTAGAATATTTACTAGAGATTCTGACTAAAAATAGTTAATCTGAATGGACAAAAAAAGTTTAGAGGAAGGTATTGCAGGCTAAGACAATCAATGGTTTCATGTTGTATGCTGAATGCAGACTGGTAATCTTGCTGCTAGAAGGTACAAAGCCTTCAGATACAGCCTGTGATAAGAAAAATTATTTTGTGTTGCAGAGATTTATTCAGTACCTGGCATCTAGAAACACATTGTTCAACCTCAGCAATTTTCTGGACAAAAGTGGATCCCATGGTAAGCCTACTTATGTCTGTAATCTTAACAAGATTTTAAATAAGATACTATTGTTAATTTGCTCCTTCATTCATAAGATGTAAATAATATAAAAATGTGCTACTTAAGTCTTTTTATAAGTACTTAACAAGTACAGCAGCACAGGTGAACTGCTGAACAACTTCAAAACAATGTTTCTCATCTTCTGCAATATTTTTACCCAAAAAGTGAAACTGCACAAATCCTTTAAGTGCTGGGTCAGCTATCTCCTTAACTCCTGTCGATGCTGAAAGTTGAAATTGATACCTTTCCATTTAGTTTTTTTATTTTTTTACTGTCTTAAATGGTAGTTCAGTTGCTTGGGGACACTGCTTTTTAGGCATTGTCTGTAACTCTTAATGGTGGGGCTGTTGGCATCAAAAGAACTGGTTGGTTTTGATTTGAATAATGAATTTAGAAAGGTCTGGCTAGAAGTTAAGGATTTGTTCCCTCTACATCTTACAAAGCCTGCTTTTCTACTCTTTGCTCTGGAATTATGAGTGAATTTTCCTGTGCCCTCAATTAACAGAGGAAAAGCTTGTTTCATGGTAGGCCTACTAGAAAAGGGGGAAAATGTAATTCTTCAGCTGCCAGAGAATATTTGTAGATTGTATGCAGACTACAGGAATTCTGCAATAATGGGCAAATTCAAAGCAATGTCACATTATTTCCTCTCTTGATGTAGACATGTGACATCAAAAAAGCATGTTTTAGATGTGGTATCAGGGCAGGAGCAAAGCTAAGCAAATACTAAGAGTGTGTTCATCTAAGCAAAACCTGATATATGTGTGTATCTATATGCTCAAAGACACTGGTGTTTGGCAGCAATTAATTCTGTTAAATRCATGCATTTTTATTCTTCATCACTTTCTTTAAACTTAAATTGCCATTTCATGGATAGTACGCAGTGTATCATAGATAATGAGGCATCASATTTGGTAGTGTTACACTTGAGTTGGCAGGCATGCTTAATGCTGAGAGATATTAAGAAAAAATACAGTCAATTACTAGGTTGAGGGATGTGGACTTTTTAAAAAGTAGCAAAAAGGGACCTGGATTGAAGAGGAAGATGAGTTGCCTTCCATACACATTTCTGTGGCTTGGAGGAAGAAACTTTGAAGGATAGACTGTAATATTAACTGCTCAGATGTCCTAGTTGAAGGTGATTGAAGTTTGAGGCAGCTGATGCAGTGTTGTGTGCCTGAGGATCTCTGGTGTAACGGGTCAAGGAAGGCACGAATGGCTGTGGATGCCATCACAAYTTCTTTGTCCTGGTAAATCTAATCAGGGGAATTTTGAAGGTCCCTGTAAGAGMTGGAGTGCTTAACATACATAAAATATCAAGGGTGTTTAGGTTGAACTTGAGCTTTATCCTGGCAGTCATGTACAAGTTCAGTAAAATCTTTTTGCTAAATTGATATTTTTCTCCATTAATAGAGGTGTAACTTTTTGCAACAAAGTAATGTTACCCCATAACTATGTCGGGGCCTCTAGAAGGTTTCCCCAGGAGCAATGCCACTGGTACAYTGGATGAATCTGTTGGAAGCAGAGGACAGTGGTAGATTGTTTTGGTGCACCACTACTGATGTTTCTTCCAAAGCTGGAAGATGTCTTGTGATGCCTGTTTTGTATGTGAGGTTGCATGTGTAAGAGAAATAACATAATCTTTGGGCCTGTTGACTGTAAATTATCGTTTACTAAAGAACTTCCCAGCAAGCATGAAAATTAAGTGTAAAATGTGTAACTATTTTTTGCAGGTTATGACATGTCYACCTTTATAAGGCGTTATAGTAGATACTTGAATGAAAAAGCATTTTCCTACAGACAAATGGCATTTGACTTTGCAAGAGTGAAGAAAGGGTAAGCAAAGTTTAGATAYGTAAATTAATAAGGTTGCCTGACTCATTAATAACTTATTTCTGGCATTTCACTTAATTTTAATTTTTCGGTGACTTTCTTGTTTTATGGTTTGGGTAGTTACAATGAAACACAAGATTTTTAAAGTATCTGTAATTGGTTAAAAATTACCCAAAGAGGAGAGGAAATACTGGGTGGTAAGGCAAATACTGAAGACTAAAGTAAAGTGCCTTACAGAACTAGGAGCTTTCAGGGCTAGGTTTAAATCTAACTCATTAAAATGTGCTGCCGTGAGACTGTGTTTAGGATTTGGAGAAGGAAACACTCTGAAACTATGTTTAGTGTTTTCATTACTCTCCAGACACTTTCCTGAACAAAGATGTCTGATCACAAGCAGAGTCTGAAGTGAACACCTGAAGTTCTTAGCAGGCAGCAGAGYAAACAGTTACAAACTGAACAGAATGAGGTTGTAAGAGTCTGCTTTTATTTCCTACAAGGACTGTGTTAAAAAATAGGTTAACCCAGTCCAGAGTTGTGTGTTGGTATTTATGAGAGCATTTTTCTGGTCTCTGACTTCTCTAACTGGGACTTTTAAGGGCTCTAGATTCTCTTGAAACACAGATGACACAGCAAGTGGCATAAAACCCACTGAAAGTGCAGCTTAATTAACAGCATGCTAAAGATGCTCCTGCTAATCATGAGTTGCATACAGGATCCTTCTGACAATTCTGGTGTGTTCTGCAGCTTGGGATTCTTACCTGTTAATGCAGGCATCACTACCAGGCTGTTCTCCCCTGCTTCTCAAACAGCCAGAAGGTGTAGGGCCCACTGTAACAGCTTTGCTGTGTAGATGGATGCCATTCCCTTAGTGGGCACCATGAGAGTTAAATAAAGTTTGGGCTGGAGGGGATCCTGTTGTTCCTGTCTTGCTGTGTATTCCTGGAAAGGCTTTCTATGCCTGTTATTTCTGGTGCTCAGAACAAGGTGCTGCCTCAGAGTGTAGCATAAAATAAGGAAGAGTAGGGGTATGCATTTCCAGTCTGCATATATACACCTGTGTGCAGTCAGAGCAGGGCAATGCATCATGATGGTTGTGCAGCTTTGTCATAATCAGAGGTAAAAATGACCATGCTTGAAGGCTTCTGGAAGACTGTGGATGACACATAAGAAATGCTACATGTCCATGGACATGTCAGCAATGAGTTGTTGTTAGCTATTCATAACAAACTTCATGCACATATCAGTTCTCTGAGTACTTCTGTGGCAGTATTTCTAGTTAGTCATTTAAGCTCCCAGTGTAATCTTTCCATAAAGAGATCAATCTCTCGCATTCATCACTCTAAAACTCACTCAAACCTTTCCTCACCTGCTGTCAGGAAGGGTGGCTGGATGAAGTGTTTTTCACACCRGCTCTCATGATGACATGAGAAGCAGGAGAATCAGACTGTGCCTTTCAAATGGTTTAAAATGAGTTAGAGGTGCTTTAGGCATAAATTTTAGACAACAGATCAGTTTGGGGGAAGGGAGAGAGGAAGTGGCATGGCTTCTGATCTGTGTTCCCTCTTGCAGAGCTGAAGGTGTAATGAGAACAATGGCTCCTGAAAAGCTGCTGAAGAGTATGCCAATATTACAGGAACAAATTGATGCACTACTTGAATTTGATGTATGTATTGAAGCTGACCTAGCAATAACACTGGCTAGCCACTTATAAATGATGATTATAATGAACATGTTTCACTTTGTAGGTAGTGTTTTACTGATCATCCCCTAGGGTGGGCCAAAAAAATCTCCTTTTCAGTGTCCCACTGAGGGATTGTGGCCAAGGATGGCTCTTGCACATTCATATTAAATGTAAAGATTGCACTTTTGGTTTTGTGGAGGGAACTTGGAGTTTCATCTGCATCAGTGAGGGGGAAGAAATGGGCAAAACAAGGAGACTGAATRCTCAGTTTTCTGTCTCTTGGCAACCAACTTCATTGGGCAGGGAGGGGATTGAAATACCACATGTACATTGTTTGGCTTCCTCAAAATCTTCATCTGGTTTTCAGCTGTGAACTAAATTGGCTAAAGTTTAATCTAGACTGTTCATAGAAATTAGTGTGTATGATATATTTATCATGGCATGAATGTTGGTGGGATTGTTTATCTGATCTAAGGATAAAAGCAGGAATCAATTGTTGTAGGAGGCACAGTGTAACATTTTGAAGAGCTCTTTGAAGGATGGGTGCTTCTGTTGTTGGTGGGCAGCTAGATACAGTTTGGGGTGGAAGGCAGAGCCCACTACAGCTCTCAGAGGAAAGGCTGAGAAGTACATGTCTTGCAATGTATTTTCCATTCCTTAAATGGCATAGGAATTGTGGTAGTGCTCTCAGGAGATACTTTTTAAGAAAAGCAGGATCTTTTAATAAAAGAGTGTGTATTTTCTTCCCAAGTTAATGTGAGAACTGAAAGGGTCTGGGCATCATTAATCCAAGTGAATTATCTCATAGACTATTGGGGTTTTGTTAAGTTCTGCTGTAAACTGACATCTTTTGTTCATTTCATTAAAACTGTTAATAACATCTCCGCCTTCCTCTTCTTCACACTAAGTGAAGACAAGACTAAGATGTTTACTGTTGATGTGGATATTCCTCTGCTTTAGTGGACTGTTTTGGAGTGGTGAAGAAAGCAATCCTKGATCTGCTAACCAAAGCTTTTGTTCAGTGTCTTAGCGTGAAAACTTCAGTGTTTGATTCTGTCTATACCAGCACCGAATACCTGATGTAAGCCAAAATGTTTGAGTCCATTTGACATATGTTTTGTAAATAACTGATATTTTATTTGTAGGTTCATCCAAATGAACTGACAAATGGTGTCATAAATGCTGCATTCATGCTTCTGTTTAAAGATCTCATCAAACTTTTTGCTTGCTACAATGATGGGGTTATTAACTTACTAGGTAAGGAGCCTGGAGTCTTTATTTCACATACCATAAGCAAGTGAAGAATCAGTTTCAGATCTGCTTCAGTTTTTTTCCTYAACTTTCATTAAAGCTACATTTTTCTTGACTTCTCTAGTCAGAAATGAGAAAAAAAAATTRAGCTGTAACCTCTTACAATAGTGTTCATCTGAGTCTGGGTCTTCACACGTCCTTAAAAGTGCCTAAAAAAAGTGCAGTGCTGTGTGAGCATGTGTAATATGTCCTGCAAAGTTAAAAGCTTTTGCATTTTTAAGATGCCCACAGTTCTTCTGTTATATATCACAGAATTAATTMGGTTGGAAAAGAACTCTGACATCATCAGGTCCAGCCTGTGACCAGACACCATCTTGTCACCTAGACCATGGCACTAAGTGCCACATCCAGTCTTTCCTTAAACACTTCCAGGGTTGGTGGCTCCACCACCTCCCTAGGCAGCCCATTCCAATATCTAATCACCCTTTCTGTGAAGAATTYCTTCCTAATGTCCAACCTAAACTTTCCTGGCATAGCTATGACTGTCCTCTTGTCCTGTCAGTGGTTGCCTGGGAGACCAGCCTCACTGGGCTGTAACCTCATTTCAGAGAGTTGCAGAAAGTGATAATGTTATGTGGTAGCCTTGTGTGAATACACTCCTGAAAAACATTCCTGATCTGCCTGGAAGCATGACTGCCAGAASTGGATCCCCTCCAGAACCCTACCTACCATCAGCCTACAAAGTGTACAGGAGGCTGTGAGCGTGCTCTGAAGCTCAGGCAGCCTGCTGTGATCACCAGCATGACACAATGGGTTGGGCAGAAAAATTCAATTGAAATTTCACTGTCTACTGCTACTTAAAGCTTAAGTTTGGGTTGAAATATGTGGCAGCTCTGTTTAATAATTTACACAAATGGAGTTTAGAGAGCTACTTAAATGAAAAAAATGCGGTTCTTCGGAGTGAAAACAGTTTGGAGAGGACATAATATATGTTTAAATATCATTAATTATTTTGGACTTTTAAGTTGGGTAGCTACTTTTTAGTCTTTAAAAAAGTGGTTGACCTCACACACCATGCTGTGGCCAGCTGGGATTCAATTTTATGGTCTATATAATTCTTTAGCAGCTCAGCAAGACCAACTTCTAAATTATACTAGGCAAGAGGAATGCCACTAGATTAATATCCAAGTAGTTAATTTTAATGTAGTGTCATATTCTTGAAACTTGATTTTTCTGAAAACTAGAGTTGCTGAAGTAAGACCTGATATAAGACATCTTAACTGAAATTTACCACATTATTTCCTCAGAGAAATTTTTTGAAATGAAAAAGGGACAATGTAAAGATGCTCTTGAAATCTACAAACGATTTCTAACTCGAATGACCAGAGTATCAGAGTTTCTTAAAGTTGCAGAGGTAAGTGGCTTTCACTCTTCTGGAGTTTGGCACTTCAGTATTTTGTGATTTCTTTTTTTTTAGCACCAATGTAAAATATTAATTGCACTTGTTAAACATCTGTCTCATTGTGTATAAATGGATCTGGATCTTGAATCTCCTTGTTCAGCTCTTGTAGTTAAAGCCCCACTTAGGACTTTCATGTCTCTATGGTGTTGCCAAAATCAACTTTCCTGGTTAAATTAATAGATGACATGACTTCAAATGTTCCAGTATTTTTTGAGAAATATTGTAATAAATACATACTTCTAGGACAGGGTAGAGGAAGATAGATAAATTAGGAATAAAAGCGTGCAGGTTTTGTAAATTGGKTTTTTTAGTCTTTGCAGCCAACATAAAGTTAAATGTAATGTGAGATTTTTCTGGTTTTGTCCTTTGTTATCATCCTCTTATGTGGATAATAGGAATATTACATGGTTAATTAACTCCTTTGCTGGATTCTCATTTGTGGTAGTTGACTCTTTGGCACAGGGTGGGACATTTTCCATGTTTCATGCTTCATTATAATGGACAGCAGTAATGAGCTGAATAAAAAGTTTGTTTCTTTGCTAATTCACTTATCCGTGGAGAAGCCTGATAGACTCCCTAATGACTTRTAATGTCAGATATGAATATGGAACTCGAGGGAGTAATGTACTTTAGAGACACAGGTCAGCTTTTCTGGGCAGGGGTTAYAGTGACTGTGCTTCAGGATTACGAGGTGCAGTGGAGCTTGCTCTTCTGCAAAAGCCAAACTAGCAATCACTCTGAGGAACCATAGTGAAGCAACAGAGCCATTAGTGGAAGAYTGCATATTTAGATCTTAATTTGCTGTCCTCTGAGACTACAGAACATGACCTGTATATTTCAGTATAGAGTATGAATTTCATGTGTGTGAAATCAAGCTCTATTATTTTATCCTTTTATTTAATTTGTGGGGGGGGTGGAAAAAGACTACTGCAGGTTGTTGAAGGTAGCTACTGGGTGCTTTCTAATTTTATAGTGTTTTCAAAAGACAGAGTAAATTATAGATTGAAGAGCTATATAAAATTAATGCCTGCTGCAGTGGAATAATGCACTTAAGTTTTACTTTTACTCTTTTATCTCTACAGCAAGTTGGAATTGACAAAGGTGATATCCCTGATCTTACACAGGTAAGCTTCTCTTGGTTTTTTTTTGAATTTGTATAATGAATAAAAGTTCTGCAGTTAGGAAAGCCCACCAGGAATGCAAGTGTTGGTAGGAAGYCATACCACCTAACATGCTGTAGCTGCTGGTCCATTTGAAGTATCACTTGCAAATTGCCCTGGATGCCTTCCTTTGTGCTTAATGTGAAGAGGATATTTACTTAGAGGAAGAGATCCATGCTGAGGAGTTCACCTGTGGCAGTTTTGATGCCAGTAAAATTGGAACAGAAGAGAAAACCAAAGTACTTAGCAGCAGCAAAGCCCAACTGTTCATATAGATTTTGTTCATGCAGCCTTTGATAGCCTCTGGAAAGGCTGGTTTAAATCAGCATCAGAATAGTGTCTCTCTTGGCTAAATGCCACTTAAAGATTCTGAAAGTGAGATATTATGAGACGGTGGAGAGTTTTTATCTTTATGGAGTTGAGATACAATGGCRCTATAAAGTCTGGCCACTCTTTCAGCCGAGAAAAGCAGGATATGCAATACCAGACCTAATMCTGAAATTGCTGATGTAGTATGTTCCCCTAACTTTGTGCCTCAGGGGCTCTTTTTTTAACACAGTCCAGTCAGTCACRAGCTAAGTCCTTAAACCAGAAGAAATCACCTGAAACCCAGTTAATGAAAGTCATTTTATGAACTTCTGTGGCACTTRTATCTGCTTCTACTTGTGTTGTGCCTGTTCTGCATCATCAGTCAGTGTCCTACTTGCTCAGCAGCACCTTAGTTACTGCCACCTCATGGTCCCTTCCACCCCATGAATCAACATTTTTAAACAGAATAGTTCTTTTGGAAGGAAGGGATCTACAATGACATCTCATCCAACTTCCTGCTGCTCAGGTAGTCACTCATARCTGTCTTCTCCCAAAGGCTGCTTGGGACTCACTTGCTAAGATAACCTGCAACATGCTGTGTAACTTAGGTATACAACCTAGGCAGTGTATTTCAGAGAGAAATAAATAAAAGGTGAATAATAAAACTGAATTTCAGCTAACCATTAGCACCTAGGGCTATACAGTATCATTGGTATACCTAAATTCCTATAGAAAGCCATGGCAATAGTTGGTAGTATTCTGCAAGAAATTGATTGTGTTGACWCTCCGTGTATACGTATTTGGTAAATCCAGACAATGGTCCCAGTRGTGTAATTCACATTTGTAGTTGTCATCTTTGGACTTCATCATTTGGCTGCAAAGTTTTGGAGGCTGAGAAGACATCTCTGCAGCTAAAGATCTTGGCTCTTTTTTTTTATTTACTAGCATTTCTTAAAGTATGACACTTTTGCCCCTAGCTGCTGGTGGGGAGCCCATATCTAAGGCTCCAGCACAATAGACTGATAGATTATCTAATGTTAAAGCAATATCTAGAAGAAATGAAGCAATGTTTATTGTTGCAAATTAGGTACCAGATAGTATTTTCTTTCTAAATTGTTGTCTCTGGGTAGAAATTTTCTGAAGCTTCCTCTCTTGAGTTCTGTTTGAAAGACAAATTTTGCATTACCTTGTCAGTTTTTAAGAAACCTGTGACTAAAGTATTGGTAAGTTATCTAAATTGTCTAGAGGTAGCTGGTAACAGTAAATCATGGAATCTTCCTTTTAATTTTTTTTTTTAAACATAGCTTTTCCTTACATGTTAAAGTCACACAACTTATATCTTACATTAAAGCCTTTTGGAATACATAGAAGTCTGAATCTCTCTGGATTTTTTTTTTTAGTTTGTTTTACCTTTCTTCTTTTACTTGCTGCTGAAGAATTCTTATAACTAGGTCATTCATGTTTAACCAATTCTCATTATGCCCAAATGAATTGAAAATTAATAAATATGCCTATAAAAGSAGCAAGGTCAAGATGTCTCTTCATTGCATATGTACATGGGATGTATTTAAACTCAGTGTGTCATTTAAGATTATTTTGAGCATTTTAAATTTCTGCATGTGTTAAGTTACTGGTTTTAATGCTAAAATTAATATGCAGACACTCWGAGTACACTAAGCTGTGCATTGGTACTGGCAGGTTCTGTGCAACCTGAAATACCTGATTCAGCCAGCCAGCTGGTTTTTCAGTATAGGAGCAGTGAATAGTCTGTTTTCAAGCATCACAAACTGACTTGTTTGATAACTATGTCTGCCCTAAAATTAGAGATGTTATTTATGAAAAACATCATAGGTATTGGTGTCAGGAAATCTGGTTGATCTGAAAGCGACTGACAAAGAGAATTCCCTGTTTAGAGGCTGGTGAACTGATGAMCTTGTAACTCTGATGAAATATTCAATTATTATATGCTACTTTATCTCTCAAGGGTTTCTTCCCTGATTTTCTAGGAGTCTACATATCCAGACTTTTAKTTTTATGCTGGAGTAGCTAAGCCCAGTGTGCATTTACAACTACTTTTTCTATCTACCATTGTAATAGCAAATGCCTGGGGGTACTGGTTGCTGACCACAAAAAGGTTGCTTAAAATAAAACCTAAGATCAGGAAGGCCTGAAAAAGCCTAGTTTTTTATAGATGTCTAAAATAGGGATCTTTCTGAATTTCGAGCTGGCTGCACAGTTAATGGTGCCAGGGTACCATTTTGAGAAGAGCAGCTGTATGGTTTTGTGATGCTGGGAATCTTGAGCCAAAAGTTGCTCCTTCTGGGAGCATTGGAAAGGACTTTGTTTAGACTGCAAATGCTTTSTAACCCTCTGCTCATGAAAAGAGGTGTTGAGGGTCTGATTACAGGCAAAACTGAAAGTTAGACCTCGAACCTATGAATCTTAGAATTAACCCTGCAGATGCCTGTGCTGTTGTCAGTTTAACACTGATTTAAAACATGACAAGCAGMCACATTCTGGATTTAGGCTTCAGGTGCTGCATAGTGGAGGTAAACATGGTCTCTCTGCAAATCTGGACACAGTAATACCTTTTTAAAAACTGGATTTGCCTGAATGCTTCTAGCATGTGGAAATCCACTATTTCCACACTGGTGTAAATAAAGGAAATGCATGTGGTGGACTTCAGGGAAGCTGGTGCTGGGTTTCAAGGTCTGGTTAGCTCACTGCAATGCATTGAGGTGTGTATCTTTGTCTTTGCTTTCAAGGCTCCCAGCAGCCTCATGGAGACCCTTGAGCAACATCTAAACTCACTGGAAGGAAAAAAACCTGGCAACAAGTAGGTATATATGTTGTACCATGTCTCTAGGCATAATAGTGACCATGTGAGATTAGCTGAGGTTTGAGCTTTCCTCCCCCAACATCCTTTTCTCACTTAGCTGGAAAATGAGTAAGGCAAGGCTTTTCCTTCCYTTTGCCAAGTCATCTTAATGGGAAACTTTTCTTTAATTACTGGTGAGGGGGAAACACACAGAACAGCTAGACACTTTCCAAAATGAAGTAAAATTACTTGAGGAAAACTAGAAGGAATTGGGAGGGTTGCATGCTGCTAAGGCTTTTATCATCAAAATCTATTTCCTTTCTAATGGTTTTGTATCTTCTTACTAGATACTTGCCATGGCTAAGTCTAGGAAGGATTAAGCTAAACCTCTGTTTTCTCTTTTACTGTTGCTTTCCTTGCAATTTAGCGAAGGGTAAGTACATACCTTTACRTATCACTTGCTTGCAGGCATGGTTGTGTGTATTTTTTTAGGATGGCTTGAACACTCAGAAATAGATATTTTCTTTGAGTGGATCTAAACTGTTCTTTGCTTTTGTATATAGCCATTAAGTTATTTTCTTGTCATTTCTGTGMATAGAAGATCTGGAAATCTTCTAATCTGTTCTACAGTTCCCAGGACTTATCCAATTCAAGTTACTTATGGGATAGATGCTAGTTCAATACTGGTGCAGCTTTATCTTCAACTTCTCCTTTCATCTCTTAGATCAAAGCAGCTCTAAAAATATGTAGCAGTATTTTCATACCTCATAATGAAAGCAAACAAATGCATTGACGTGCATTTTAAGTTATGATTAAGGCTCTGTCAGTTACTATTAGTGTGATTTTTTTTTTGTGCATGTGGGAGAACTTTCGGCTTGAACTTTCCAACTCACTGTTTTCCTACTTTTAAAGGCAGTTATTTTCAAGTAACTCTGACTTTCTTTAAAAGAAAGTAGACTTCGGAAATTTGCTGACACATCATCAGAAGACTTGTGTTAGATAACTGCTTCAGTATTGGTGGTGWTCTTCTGCTGTTGCATGGTTTTCTAATATGGTGACATCTTGCCCCAGTAACTCTTTCCTACTGGCTCCTGTAGTCCCCAAAGCAAGATATCTGCATGCATTTCTGCCTTTCCTCCATTTGGTAGAGCTTACTTAAAAGGCAGAATAATCCTGTGATGCCAGGGAGCTTAAAAGTTTAATTTAAGATTTGAAGAAAATTTTCATTCCTTGTCTGAAGTGKCACATAGAAGTTTGAGAAATATAAAGGGCGTGCAATTGAAGA